AAAAACAGATTTTAAATTCAAGAATCCATGGTCAGAATGGATTAAATAGATAATTTATGCTAATCAACGTTCAGATGTTTTGGATTGCTGATCTGTGCGTTTCTTTGGACATGGATCTGAAAAAGGACATCAGGCAAGCGGTTTTTTATTTTCCAAAAATATATATATAATAAGGCTATCACGTTCATGGCAGTTAGCACCAAGTTAGCACCAATGTTGCTGACAGGCTAAAGAATATAATGACTTTCTTTTTTTTTTGGTTTCTTTTCCATGCTAACAAATCCAAAGAATCTGATCATGGTTGCAGTCTAAACGAAGAAATGAAACCTTAAATAGCCCGCTCTAAAAGCTTTAATTTGAAATACAGTTGTCAAATAGGAACTCACAACATCGCTAGGGTGTGATACATCCCTGGAGGTATACGGTACCCTTAATAGCCTGTTCCAGGCTCTCAGATAGTGGGGAAGACGCGAAAGAAAAAGGCACTCGAAAAGTTGGCGGGGCGGTTTATTTTACGACCCTCTTCCGCCCACTTTTGGCACGTTTGAGATAATTAGATTTCGGCTGTCAAACTGTTGAAATGTCAATGAGTTGGAATATTTCTCAAATTTCTCGCGACATTATTTGGCGCGGCGCTTATCCCTTATGCGATTCAGAGCAAACTGGAGTATAAAAAGCTGGTCGATAGGCAACACACGACTTTTACCTTGTGCCAAAATGCTGCTTGTTCTAGTGAATATTTCCTCTTACAGGTAGATTATGCTCTGGAGGGGTCCACATTTTGACTGAGCAGACTATGTGATTTTTGCCGCCTGTTTCATGCTGAGAGGTCGCGACATGCATATTGATTTTCTGAGGTTATTGTTTCTGGTCGGCATGGTTTGCCCTCTGATAGAAGCGCATTTTCTTTGACCTCTTTTGAAACGTAAAGTTCTTCATTGCGGCTAAATAAGGGTTTTAGGTTATTTAATTTTCTCCAAAGTCGCTCCTTGATCTGAATAATTATAACCGAAAGCGATTTTCTTTTGTCCGTGAATGTGATGTGATAGTTTTCTACAAAGAGTTTTGTCACGCTGGGCCCAGCTCGTTAGTGTTTTTGCAGGATGTGAAATTCTCACGGATGGTGATTCACAGACCCAAATTTCGAAGAATCGATTGCAGCTTAAACTGAAGCTACTTTAAACATGGAAAACTACGTTGTGAGTCAGTCAAGATTGCTGTTAAGCAATGATTTTTAAACTCGAGCTTGTTCTTCTAAAGAGATCTAAAGATAATGTGAATCTGGACTGGAGCACGTAGATAACTTCTTGCTACTGTTGTCATTGCCACTTTGTTATCAGGCAAGACCGAAGCCGGTCGGCAGGATTACAAAACATCTTTTCCACGCGCCAAGTTCACAAGGCAGGTCTTCTGTTCCTTCCTCAGCGCTCCCATGTGCGGGAAATCTCGTAAACATTCGTTCAACACAGCAGTTATCGTGGATTCCTCTATTTCACGCGCGTGGACGCCAAAAGCCATCTCTCTGAGTGACAGGAACGACCCGCTTTGAGAGTGTTGATATAATCTATCAAATCTGATCAATCAGAGGGTATACCAGGACCAGCTGGTATACCGGAACGGGTCGTTTGGAGAAATGATTGCAGGCTCCGCCGCCCCCGCTCTCCCCGGTTTCCTCCCGTTTTGTTTTGGTGTTTGCGCCTTCTCAATTCAGCGGACCCGACTATCTCGGAGCCTAGAACAGGCTATACCCTTAATCGCTCCCAAATTTAATTCTTTAAAAAGGTGTCAAACACTTAATACATTTACCTGAAATAAAGCACCCGTTTTATTCAGCCAGTATGCACCGCTGACGGCTCTTTCGCCTTCTATCGTTTTAATATTCAGACACGACTGTCCAGGCTTCCAATCAAAGTAACCCAATAAAGCTGAAAAGAAAAACAAGAAAAACACTTCACAATCTACTCATATGGAATATGTTTTAGTTGTAAGGATATTTTGGACTTAATTATTGCAAAAAAAAGAAGTAGCAAGTGAGCGATAATAGATCTTTTTACCCATACGCCGGCCATAATAATTAATTCGATTTAAGGAGTATTAATTAGTATCAAATTCTGTCAAACCGGTTAAACCACCAAACAATAGAATATGTTAATCGCAAGTTAATACGATTCCATCGCTAAAAAAAAACCAAACAAACGAACAAAAAGGAAACAAAACAATACCAAAAACGGCCTTACCGGTGAGCCTATTAATATAGTACACTCATGTTTCGGTGCTTTTCGAATGATGACCTTTGCAAGAATAGACCTTTTTAACGATACGGTGGCCATATTGAATTAATTCGATTTAAGGAGTATTATAGGATGCCAAGGGGGCATGAGCATATTTCGTTTGTATTTTCAACCGCTTTTCGGGACATTTTTTCTTAAAGTTTTCTTAGAATAAGATTGTAATGGGAAAAAAGATCCTTGTGCCGTGTTTTGATTTAATAATGATCGCCTTTTTCTAGTTTAGTATTAGAAATATGGTCTTTCACTGTATATTTCTCGGGAAAACGGCGATCATTAAATACATCAAAACACGGCACAAGGATCTTTTTTCCCATTACAATCTTACAGAATTTGCTTATTTTTCACACACGCTGCAAAGCATTCACGGTTATTGCCGTACATTCAAGGCAGCCGAACTCCAGAAGCACAAGTTTAACATACCAGCACTTGCTGGTACCGAACGTTTACTTTACCCTCTTAGAAAACTCAAGGTTCATGAAAAGACAACCACTGGTTCCTGTAAGTTCTGTCGCTACAAGCACCCATTTACTCGGCCACCTCGCTGCTCTCCCCTTGGAGAAAAAATGCCAGAAATGTAAGAAGGAAGGACAGTTTTAACAAAGAATTAAGTGCTGAAGGTTTACAAGTTGCAGCTGTGGAACATGATACCCCTCTTAATCACATATTCTGGCTTCGTTGAGCTAGATAGTATCTCCGGTAATCTAGGAGCTTGATTCAGACATTGCTGCAGAAGCTTCACCCATTCCCTCTGAACTCTACATAGGAAACCACTCACAAAACCCCTTAGAAAATTCAGCAACCTTTGAAGGGGTGGCTTGCAACCAAGCCCATTCTTCCAGAGGGCTGTGAGAAGATTCCGACCCTATGTGGGAATCATGAAGTCAACCTGTTGCATCTTGTTGTTGATGGAAATTTTACACCATTTCTCGGTTCATGCTTGTCTCCCGGGAAGGGGGTACTCGACCAATATTAGGGTATAAGTGAGCCGCTGAAGGTTTGAAACCCTGACCCTGTTTAGGACAAAAAATTCCTTAAATACATACGCTGTTTAGGACAACACGCTCAATTTTAGTACCCTGTTTAGGACAACTCCCTCAATTTCATTACTAGAACAGACTCGCACTAATCATGCAAACTGTTTGGGACAGACTTGCGCGAAATTGTATACCCTGTTTAGGACAGACTCGTGCGAAATTATATACCCTGTTTAGGACAGAGAGGACGAAAACCATACACTGTCCAGCGGCACATCCCCGTATAGGCCATATAACTGGAAGCACCCCCCCCCCCCCCCCCCCCCGTTTTTGTTCTTTTAAATGCCCCCCGTTTTTTGACCCCCCCCAAAAAAAAAACACCCGGGGGGGAAAAAAACCCACACACAAAAAGAAAATTTTTTTCTACAACACAACCTTTGTCGCATAAAATATTTTTATCAACACCCAACAAAAAGGACTGTTCTGTTCTATTTTTATTTTTAAAAAAAATAAGTTTCTTCCAAACGCATCCTGTGTACGATATAATAAGTTTACTAACAAGCCCAAAATTGGGACTTTCAGTGTTAATTTACAATTATCAGAACAAAATCTAACTAGAATACTCTTTAAAAAAACTACTAAAGATGAACTAAAATAAATATAATCCTAAAAACATTACAAGTGAAAGTATAGATGCCCAAAGTTCCCTACGGGCGCGATGTTTAAAAAGAACAATGCTCATACTGTTCTTAGTGTCCTCGTTTAACTTATTCCATGACACTATTGCGGCGGAAACAAAAATTAACTCTGCGAGGTTCCCCTAATGTAATGTCTAAGTGATTCTTCTGTCTGGTATTTTGACTGTGGATATTAAAACGGTCAAGGAAACTTGCAGCAAGGCTATTAAGAATTTCAAAAACCATGGTTACTTCACGAAGCTGTAACATGTTCGTTATTGGAAGACATCCAAGGTCTCTGATGGTTGTGGAAATGTGATCATATTTTCTTTTTCCAGTTAGTATTCTGGAGGTTAAATTCTGTAATCGCTGCAGTTTCTGGATATTCTGTTGTGTTGTTCCTGACCACACAGTGGAACAGCAAATAATTTGCTGAACACTTAAGAATTCAAAATGACTGAAAGAACATCTTTGTAAATAGATGTCGGGCACTATTAATTTGACAACGTTTACCTTGTATTAAAGATGATAGATCATTTACATGAGAATCGAGATAAAGGTTACTGTCAAAAACAACTCCCAAATCTTTGAAAAAGGTCGAAGGAGATAGATCTCTGTCAAGGAAAGGGATGGTGCTGTTGCTAAGTTTCCCAATCAATCAACGTGTACCAAAGAGCATGAACTTTGTTTTCCCTGGATTTATGAGGAGTCGGTTAGTACAAAACCACTTTGCTACACTATTGAGATCACTGACAATCTGACTTAGGGCATCTACTTTTTCGTTGGTTGCAAAGGAAATAAAGAGTTAAGTGCCATCAACATAGGATTCAAATGAGCAGCTCGAAATGATGTCTTGCGAGTTATTCGTGTATAAACTAAATATCACGGGCCCGAGAATAGGTCCCTGTGGGACACTTTGAGTTTTTTTAACGATGAAAATGTGGATGTTCCTATTCGAGTGGTTTTCCCTCTCTTGGTAAGGTAGCTTTGAAACCAATTTAGTGCACTTGTTAATGTTCCTAGCGACTGAAGCTTATTTAACAGTGTAGCGTGGTTAATGCTGTCCATCGCTCTTAAGAAAACTCCAAACTACATCACCACAAGAAGTTTTAAAGAACTATAGAGGTGAACAATTCAGCAATGATATTGCTCATATCCCTTGGAACACCGTGGGATGTGTGATGGAGTCAGTTGACGGGAAAGTGAACGCTTTTAATGACCTATTTCTGACTTGCTTAGATAACCACGCACCAATAAAAACAGTAAAATTGAAGCGTAAACCAAACCCATCCATCACTTCTGAAGATTGCTTGAGTGATAAACCTGGTAAACTACTAATTACAAAACAAGTTGATCCGTCAGGTCCTCCACTAGTAAACCCTCCCACGCAAAATCCACTAGCACTTCTTGAACTAGCACGAGAGAAGCTCACAAAGATGGTGGAAGAAGATAGGAATATTGGTAAAGAAAAGGCACAAACGCCCTAGGTTTCATCTATGCTAGTGACTGACAAACGATTCAGAAGGCTCCCTTTTGGTATTTTTCCTGCTCCTGAAGTCTACTAAAGGAAAATAAAACTATAGGGTTCCTAGCTGTAGAGATTATAGTGGATAATTTCTTGATACATGGTGAAGATCAAACAGCTGCCGATCAGAAGTTGAGAAGATTACTGGATAGGAACAAAAAAGTAGGATTGATGTTCAACCCCAAAAATTGAAACTTCGGGTTCTTGTCGTTAACTATTAACCATTTTTATTTGTTTTTATGTCTACAACACTCCCATTTACACACACCCTCCCTCCCCACCTTTCACACTATTTAGTGGAGACTTGAGAACCCTTTCATTAGGGATTCCATACTACACCTGTAATGCCACAAAGGTTGCTAGATAAATCTACTGTTTGTTTGTTTGTTGTTTTTTTCATGTTGGCATTTTTCTATGCAGATGGCTTAAATTGAAAGCAGACCCTAATGAAATCAAAGCAACCAGTGAGATGCCTAAGAAGGAGTGCTTCAATCCGTAATTCTGTCATCACTAGTGCCTCTGTGTTAGTATACTTTGATAACAGTAAAGAGACAGTTCTGAGTGTTGATGCTAGTAACATAAGCCTTTGTGCAGTGTTTATGCAGGAGCACAGACCAGATGCCTTCAGTTTAAAAAACTGCCTCGGAGAAGATGTAGGCTAATATTTATAGAGAGCTAATACCATTTGTAAGGGGAGCGCAAGAGTTTCACTCACATGTGTACGGCTCTGAATTATTTTTCAAACAGATCACAAACCGCTATTTGTCAACCTTTTGGAAACCACTGAATGAGGCCCCTTCCAGACTACAGAGGATGCTGCTGAAACTCACCAAGTATGACCTTGAAGTACGTTTTGTCCCAGGAAAATAGCAGGACATTTTAGACTGCATTAGCAGAGAACCTCTCAGTGAAACTGAACCACTTAACAACCCGAAGATGTAATCGGCGTCAATCTTGTTGAGAAACTTGTAATCGACAGCAGCACCCTGAGGAGATTCAAGGACAGCTTAAGTACTGATGAGACATCAAGAGTGGTGATGGAGTTTGTTTTGAAATGATAACCTTTAGAGGAAGAACAAGTTGATGTTTTTACCCGAGAATATTGAAATTTCAGAGTAGAGATGGATTTGGAGGATGACATGTTATTGAAATCAGACTGAACTGTAGCCCTAAGATCATTGAGAGCTGAAGTGTTATATGAAATTCACGGAGCACACCTGGGAGAGAGCTAACGCCTTTACTTTGCCAGAGATTATGTTTTCTGGCCTACCGCCACCTGTGTCAGCAACAACTTGAAGAAAATATTTGCGAGGTTTAGAATCCCACAGAAAGTTTTCAGCGACAACGGACCGCAGTACAGCAACATTAGACACTGGTTCAGCAACAAGCATGAGTTTCAATAATGAAGCAGCCAAACGAGCATTGCACTGGCGCACCCAACGACGGTTTTCTCCAAAATACATTGAAAACACTTTTTAGGCTATCCAGAGTACTTCAGAGTGATGCATTCTAAGCGGCGATACAAAATTCTTATATGTTCGGTCATCCCAAAAGGAACTTAGTTCTTTTCCAAATTACAAGGGCTTCAGTATTATTTTTCCGTAAAAATTTTAGGTGCAATTGAACGTTTTGCGAAAGTGAGAATTTTTCTGATTCCTCTCTCCATCACATTTGAGAATCTGAAAATTTTAGGTTTCCTTTTTCTAGGAAAAAAAGTGTAACCTGGGTAGTAAAATATGAAAAATATAACTTCAGATAATCGTTGGGAATTTCTTAGATAAACTTCGGAAGTTGTGCACAAATGGAAGTTTCATCTAGAAATTTTTATCCGTGCTTAAGCAAAATAAAATTCTTGGCAATATCTTTGTTTCTCCGAACAGATACTTTACAGGAAACAGTCATTGGGTGGCCCTGATTGCGACGATAAAACGCATTCTTTAGAAATAAGGCTGCAGCAGAAAGCAAAGATCAATTCAAAAGAACTGTTCAAGTATGGCAACACACCATTCGAAGATATTGGTGTGTCACCTGCGCTGTAACTGATGAGTCGACGCACTCGAACGATGATAACAACTCATCAAAGTCTCTTGTTACCTCAGGCAGTGGATCATGAAAACGCTTCAATAGCAACAACATAATACAAAGCCTAATTAAAGTAGAAATTTGCGCCCACCTGAAGTTGAGGACAAGGGGTGTTTCGTCCAAATGGTGAAAGGGAATGGCGCAAGCTGAAGAATTACAAAGATCGTACCTACTGGAAGATCAATATGAACGGGCTTTCAGGAGAAATGGAGGACAGATCATCTCAGTTCCAAATGATTCTCCCATGACCCAAGCACAAGTGTTCCTCCCTTAAATGGCCAGCCTTGTGACTCTTTTGTGAGTTCATCGGCACCTGAATCCGAGAAGCAGCTGCCAAGCTCAGTCAGATTAGCAAAGAGACGGACAGCACGCACTCCTATTAAAACTAGATCTGGGCGCCAAGTTGAAAGGCCACAAAAACTTGGAACCGAGCGTATTGCATTGTCAACAAAAAAAAAAAGACTTAGGATTGTTAACGAGTCACAATCTTTCTCGGCATAACCATATCATGGCCAAAGTAAACATCCCAAATAAAATCCTACATTTAATCAAGAGACCCTGACTCAACCCCATGTACTACTCAAACTGTACATTCATTTAGTCAGACCACATACTGAATATACCTGCCAGGTCTGGTCTCCTCATCAACGATTTCTGATAGGCACAATTGAAAGAGTTCAACGAAGAGCTACAAAACAGATCATAAAGGACAGTCCTTATGGAGGGAGACTTCAAGAACTGAATATTCTTTCCTTGGCCTCAAGGAGGCTTTTTCTGGACTTAGTTAAAAATTCATGATGGGCCTATACCATTTGGATCTGTCTTATTATCTTGTGTTAGCTGACAATTCTAACTATATATAATCTCAGACATGCTAATTATCAGTTTAAAATTAGATACGCAACAACTAATGTTTTAAAATTTTCTTGTTTCTTTAGAGTAGCTAAATCCTGGCACTCTTTGCCCTTTACAGTTAAGAAAGACTGAATCTTTAAACGTTTTCAAAGAAAGCCTTAATTCATTTCTACGTCAGAAGGATATTTCTAGATTCTCTTAATTCATTTTTCTTACTAGTTTAATATTTTTATTATATTTTTAGTGTGATATTTTGCATAATTTTAATTTTAATGATTTTACAGTAATTTTACATCATTTTAATTATTTTACATAATCACCTCTTGTTTCGGCATTTATGATTTTTTAGCTGTTTTATTTTATTTATTGTGAGTCTTAGGTAACCCTTCAATGAGGGAACTAGTTTGCTGTTTTGGATTTTCCTTTCAATATACTTATAGTCCTTTGTATTGGTAAACTATTGAAGTAAAGACTCATTGAATCCTGTTAGGGGGAGATTCAACATTTGAACTTCTAGAGACGCCCTTTAGGTATATGAGCTCCTGAATGTTTTGCATGCACGCCGCGAAAACGGGGGACCACGTGAGGTGCGTTTTCGACTTGCTCAGCGGGACTCATTCCTGAACATGACCAAGAATTTTCAGAAAATGCTTGATTCAGTTGTCTAGATTGTGCATAGTAATATAAGAGGGCGCTTTATTTCAACCTTTACTACAATGAAACAATAACGGGCAATCATTATTTTATTCTCCTTTGTAGCAGGAGAATAAAAAGTGGTTTCCAATGTCTTCGCGTTTTTGCGTGTGATTGCTTCACAATCGTGTCATCCGTCGACGAAGGCTATCTTACATAGAACTTCTCTTCTTGAGCGCACACTGTACATGTCCCTTAGAAACTGGAATTCTTGTAATGTTTACAGGGATTTATAGAGTAAAAGGTGGTCGTCTTTTCAGAGCTGCCACTTTCTATGACCTCACTGTCGTTTTCAGTGTCACTACCAAGTCTATCATGAAACGTATTCAGCTCACCGGTTTCGTCACGTCATCTTGGCGAGAGAGTATTAAACAGACCAAAATCCTCAATAAGCTGACAGCGATGTTTCTTGCGGGACTTCTGCAAGTAATTGTCCCCGGGAGTCCACAACAGACTATCTCTGGAAGCGGCCACCCTACGCAAAATATCAGAAGCACACTTTATAGACATCTGTTGAGGAATGTTACTCACGACGTCTTCAGTTCTTGGTACGTTCTTGATTTTTGTTTTAACCATCAGAAGTTTATGTAACAAAGTAGTAACTCCAATCTGTCAAGTCATTCTCGAGGAGTAGGAAGACAAGTAGAACGATATATTACCGCAAAAGGGATCTTACTGTACCTATTTTTTCCTGGTAGCCGTAGGCACAGACCCTTCAAATCGGGCTGTAAAGTTTCAATGTCCGCCATCCTCTTGACGTCTACTGTCTCACGAAAGCATGCACCAACACTACCGCCTCTTATGCGATTAAGAAACCCAGATGTATACACAGGGGTGAAAAAGTATTCCAGTAAATTATATACAGTTATGTGTATGTATTTATACAATGATGTCAATGCTACGCCCGCTGTGATTGGTCGTTGCCTATGGATGACGTCACAGGACGCTTGCTTTCTTTGTTTTGTTCAACATGGCGCGCGGTTTTGAAAATGTTTGTGAGATCAATTCGGATTGAGCCTTTTTTTTTTGCCACCTGAGGCATATATATAATCCTGAAGCGTCTAATTCCCTCTTATTTGTTTAGAACCATGCTTGGGTTTTTTAGCCGTCCAGTCAGAAGCACGGAAATTTTTCTGCCCAAATAAGAAATAAGAAAACTGAAGGAACCGTGTCTAAAAAAAAAATAGCTAAAACCGGATTTTTCCATTCCTTAACAATTCTTGAAGTACATTTAAAATTCAATAGTACACGTAGAACCATTTACATTTACAGATGTTGCAGACATTTGCGCGCGCTGAGCTGCACATGCAGTGTACAAATAATTTTATTTGCGAAGACTTCCACTAATGAATATATCTTCTTGCTTGATAAGTAGTTTTCCGTCTCAGTGTACATTGCAAAACATTTTACATGCTATTCTGAAGTACCTTTGTAAATTGCTCTTCATACAACGATAGTCATGCCAAAAAATTATGTTACATTTGCCTCCAATTTTTTTGTCGTTCCCAAGCCCATAAATCGTGTCCCAATATCATATAGATCATGGTTAATTTTAAGCGAAAAGCAAAGTTAGACAAAGTTAACGATTACTTTCTCTAAATGTACGGTTACATTTACGATATTTGTTTATTACTTTATCTGGAAGTCGTAAAATAAGTTGGGAAAGTGAAAAATAAACGCGTAAATCGGGCTTTGAAGTCGTCGAACTTGAAAGAGCCCGTGACTAGCATTGACTACTCGGCCAAAACACGGTCATCACTTCAAGCCGCCTAGTCGTTTAAAACATACGTAATTGAAATATGTACGGGTTTATATGGAAAGCCCAGGATCTAACAAACATTTAAGCTCCAAATTAGTACGTGTTCGAGCGAAAAAATATATATAAATCGGCGTTTGAAAAGTACTCCTTTGCAGACTTGGCGATTTTGATGGGCGCTCCGGCCCTTTTTGTAATTTGCTTTACGTTTGTGTTGTGTTGTGTAGAGGTCCTGCAAAACGACCAAGAAAAGAAGGAAAACGGCGATGGTGGGAA